AGGTTTTGTTTTACTTAATGCCAGTACTGTTAAGTCCTCTAGTTAAGTCTTCTAGTTATGTTTCATTTTATATCTTAATTAGACCTTCTGTGTTTAAAGCTGTATTTTATGTAATTAAGATATTCATAGCTGTTGTAAAGGTACCACTTCTATACATAGAAAGATTCTGTTCATAATGCTTAGAAAGCTTTACAAAAGAGCAAGATTAAGGAGGTGAAACATAACTGTTTTGAAATGTATATATAATTTTAATTTTCAGGTCACCCAGCTTTATTTAAGTAACTCTGGAAAACTGTGTTCCTCACTTCCCCCACATATTTTTTCCTGTGCTGAAAGAGCTTACCACATGCTATTCCAGGAGCAGCGTCCCCAGTGCTTTATCCTCAGGTGAAAATTTATCTTTCTATTAATTAATTTGTACCTCCTGCCTTTCAGCAGTTTCCCTTGGGCCTCAGCAGTTGAGATTTCCATTTTATTTTTTCTCTAACTGATTTTTTCTGTGTACTGATCTCTGTATCATACATTAGAGCAAAATAGAAATGAAAAGGGTTTAATTACATCTCAAGTTCATAAATTCTCTTGGGCAATTGCCACTCCATGTAGCTGCATCTAATTAGGAACAAGAGTCAATGGTAAAGAATTCAAAACTGCTGTGTATGTTTGCTAATATTACATGAATCAGAATTAGAAATATAATCTAATGACAATAAAAATAATAAGTCCTTGACTAAATTATAAACCTCTGTGGTGATGCACTTGTATTGGAGCTTGCACTCTGCCTCACGTTTGTGTGACCATAAGTTTGTTCTTTTACTCACCAAGCTCAAAATGGATTTTAAAATGGACTTTAAAATGGACTTTAACCTTTAACCCTTACTCACAGTATTGATTCAATCATAAGTAACTTCAAGATTGAGAGTAATTTTGTTAGTAATCTGTGAAACAAGTTTAATACGAGTATGCTGGTTTTATAATGGTGAAATTTGGCATTCACCTGGAATGTTTTAATCGCCAAATCTATTAATCCTTCTTTTCTCAAACTCTTTGAAAACAGTGAGTCTGGTGAATTTGATGTACCCAGTCAAAGAAATGTGTTGCTCAGTCTCATCACTTTTCTCTCTTTTCATCCTCTACTTACTTCCATATCTTGTGAATCTTTAATCTTAATATCTTCCATGGGATTAGAAACTCAATGAGATTGTAAAAGACCTTTGATATCACCAAGTCCAACCCTTGACTGAACACATTGTCATCTAGACCATGGCACTGAGTGTCATGTCCAGTCATTTCTTGAACACCTCCAGAGATGGAGACTCCACCATCTCCTTCAGTAGCCCATTCCAATGTCTAATCACCCTTCCTGCAAAGACCTGATGTCCAGCTGTCCTGATTTAGGGTAAATTTGGGAGAAAACTTCTAAAGGCGTTCTTCTAGAAAGTAAATTCAAGTGGGCCCTCCCTCAACTGGTTTGGGAAAAGATTTCTTTGGAGAAAAGTGGAAAAAATTTGTTTATTTTTGTTAAATTGTTCAACAGGCAAAGCATTCACTAGCACAAAACATGAATAATATTAAACAATAAAACCTCTTGCCAATCTGAAGAGATGACAAACTCAGTCCCCTTTGTGGGCTGCGGCTGGGCTCACTCAGTCTCCGATCAGTCCCTCTGGCGCTGGAAATGCCACAGCCCAGCCCAGCCCGGTGGGCCACAGGTGTGAGCTGCTGCTGCTCTCCTGGTGTTCAGTCCAGAGCAGGTTTGAGCAGTTCCAAGAAAAAGAAAAAACAACAGTCCAGGAACTTCCCTGCCTCAGCTAGCTAAAACTAACTAAGAACAAGGAGAACTCTCTCCCACATCTGTCTGTGCTGCAGACACCACAGTCCAGGAGCAGGATGCTGGGAAGCAACTGCAATCCCTGATTACAAACTCTGTGCTTTTTCTCTCCCCTCCTTTGCTCTTGGAACTAGTCTTAAAGGTGTAAAACTTATTTCTGGGCAAAACAGATAAATGGGGATACGAGTATCATAAAGTCACTCTAGGGCATCAACCTAACCTCCCCTGGTGCAGCTTGAGGCTATTTCCTCACTGTATTGTTGCTGGTTGCCTGGGAGAAGGTGCAGATCCTCACCTGGCTACAGCTTCTTTTCAGGCAGTTGAAGAGAGTGATCAGGTCTCCCCTGAGCCTCCTTTTCTCCAGCCTAAACAACCCCAGCTCCCTCAGCTGTTCTTCATAGGACTTGATGCTCCAAACCCTTGACCATCTCCCTTGCCCTTCTCTGGACTCCCTCCTGCACTTGAATATGCTTTCTCAAAGTGAGGAGACCAGAACTGGACACAGGGCTTGAGGTTGCAGCCAAATTTGTTACCATTTTACAATATTTTTTTCCCCCCCCAGTCACTTCACATCTAATCAAAAGCTCACTCATGGAGATACAGCATTTTACAACAGGAAAGCATTTGGCCAAATCACTGAAGAACTTGCTATCACAATTATTTTCACTTTGTAGCAACACAGCTGTATTCATGTATGCTTAACACCAAGAACTGTCTTCGTACAAACTTCTAATGGAAGTTACAGAATAAAATAATATTATTAGTTATGCCCTTAAATAGCCAGTAGGTGGACTTTTCATTATTAGCTTCCTTCTGATTGCATTTTACTCCCGCTTTTCAGGATATGAAAATATATTAAGCACTGACAAGATAAGTAAAGAGCTGTCTTGGGAGCCTAAATATAGTCCTGTTAAAAGCTAAGGATCCTTAGTAAATCAAACTAAAGATTTATGGCATGCTGATTGCTAATTTGTGAGTCAAAAAGTCATAATGAATACATAAAATGGAATGGTCTAGCTTGTTAACAGCCAGGGAGGGGTGGCAATATCCAATGATACTGTTGTGACATAAATCACATTTTTAAGCCAAATAATCTGGAACAGAGAGACGTCCTGTGTTTTGCAGTGGAATTCATTGAAAGCTTTGGATTTCCTCAGTTTAGCATCACCAAAAGCATTCTGTTCAATTTAAATTTTTTTAGAAGTATAATTCTATGCATTTTAAATGCAATGGGCTGCTGCATACAGTTGCATATTTGTATTGAAACATTGCTTAGAAATACACTGTCCAATTCAGCTTACTTTTAGAAATATAATTTCTAACTAACATGAAAGATTGATCAGTTACATATAACATTACTGTTAATACAAAACTCATTCTTTTGTATTTAACAGTTTTGCTTGCACATATTTGTTTCTAATCTAGAAACCTCAATCACTAGGAGCAAGACTCAGTGCCTCACTTACCTGCTTTGAAAATGGAGCAGAAATAGATTATTCTGACCCCCAAAAGTGTGCAAAATTAGTCACTGTTCCCTGGATATATATTACTATATTAATGGGAATTTGGAGTAGTAATGCTCCATGTAGTACAATAAGAGATTTGTTACAAAAATTCATGCAGAACGGCACACCTGTCTTCCCTTAAATCTGATAGAAATCTTATATGAACACATTCTGTCAGCAGTTTTCCATCACTTCTGATTATAGTTCAAGTACTGCAGGAGTAAGGTTTTTTTGTTAAGTATGGTATGAGTGTGGTATCTTTGGTCAGAATTGAAAATGAAGCACAAAAAATAAAACCCCGTCATTTACAACATCTGTAATGACAGGTATATTGCTCCTCACATATTTTATCATATTTTCCCTAAGTAGATGATTTATAAAATTTCTTTATGATGGAACTGTTGTTTACCAAACAGTAACGATCCAATAATTATCCACTATTCTGAAATCATAAAGGTATAGACAAACCTGCCTAAGATGCAGAAACTGGGGGGTAAACAAGTACTTCTCTGTACTTGCAGAAAGTAATTCTTAAAAATTGCCTGGGGTTGGCTGTTTTCTGACTTTTTTACCTAGGCTTCCTTGATTAACTGTTTCCATGTGATGGTTCTATTTCCAAGTCTCCCTTCATGCAATATATATGATAATGGATGATAATCCAAATGCTGTGGATTTGACAATTGTAGATTCTTTATTTCCCCTGGATGTATTATGTCTCATGTTCTTTTCTTCACATGACTTTGTATTTTCACTCTTTCAATTGGTCTTTTTTCCTAACAATTTAGATTTTAATTTGTTTTAAATTTCAAAACAGAACCTATTTTTTAAATTATTCATAGCACTTGAAGATAGAAAGATTTGAGCTGTAATTAAGTTGTATTAACAAAATATTTATAAAGCAATAATAGGAAACAGGCCCTCCATCAAGTAGTTATAAAGAAAAGCTGGAAAGCCAAAGGAGGAAGAGTGATAAAACTTCATGGACTTCCTAACTAAATGTCATGTTTCTTCCTAACACCTCAGCTAAGCTTACCCTCTTTCAGTTTGCACAATTATTCATTGTCCTGCCACTCCAGTTTCTAACTAAGAGTCCCACTTTGGCTTCCCTGTCAGAGATTTTGCTTCCTTCCTCCATCCCACAACTTTCCTATTGTTTCTTTCCACCTTTGTCATTCTATTGCCTTGTACCTTATTTACTTTGGTCACTTTGCCTGTTAGAAATTCTTATTCTTTTGAATATTTATTCCATATAACAAACAAGAAATCACAGTGATCTGGATAGAACAACTAAAGTAAGAGTGTATTGCAGAAACTGGGCAGGTTGTAAAATCAATCAGCTTTTTCTTTTCCTTCCTGTTCCTTTTGTATTGTCTTTCCATTCTTTCTATTGTATTCTTCACTTTCTATTTCTTCTGATGTCCCATCATTATGGCAAAAGTAATTTCCCCATCTGCAAAGGAAACCAAGGCAGCATTAGTGAGCTCCTCTGCTGGACAAAAGATAAAGATAAACATAAAATCTGTGCTATAAGTACCTTCAAAAAGACTTGAAACCATTAGATTTGATTGGTTTGTGGTACAAGACAATGTACCACAGCTCTGACAGCCTTCATGTACATAGACAGTCAGTCTATCTCCTATGTTATGTTCTTTAGTTGTCATCCATAAACCTTCTGTTATTTGAAATAAAGGTTTGATGGAGGTACCTTCAATCTATTCAAACAAAGCTAGCAGAAAATTTAAATGACATTTCAATTGTGAAACTAGCACTGATTCCTCCCTCTCTTCCTTGCCTGTCATCTTGCAGTGGAGAAAGTGGTTCTGGGAAGACTGAAGCCTGCAAACAGATAGTGAAACACCTCACTTGCAGAGCCAGTTGCAGCAGAAATACCTTTGATACAAAGATAAAACATGTAAGTAGCAATCTCACCACTGAGTGGAATGAAGTAACACCTTGGCTTCTGGGATAGAGAGATATTTGAAATGTATGGAAAAAGGTGTTACCTCTGTAGAAATTCATAAATGGCTTGTTTTCACCTTTGAAATCAAAGGAAGTTTTTTTTCCCATGAATGGGAATGGGATTAAGCTCACCTTGATCTGATAAGAAGAATCTCTAAAGTGGAGACAGTTTTGTTTCTATGTTTTAGTGACTTTGAAAATCAGTATTGCAGTGAATAGGAAACATTTTTGTGATAAGGGACTGTTTCTTACACGTTAAATTAATTGCCTTCAGTAAACAAATAAATAAATTTGTCTGTATGTTACTTGTTGGACAGTATTAGAAGTGTTGAGACATCTGAAGTAATCGTATGCAAGACAAAATGTAAACTTGCAGGAAAACTGCAAGGGTTGAACAAAGTCATATGGCTCAATATCTGTGTACTAAATATATTTAAGAAACAAGTAAGAGTTCTGAATTTTTGTTCAGTCATATTTAATTTTGAAAATATGTGCTTCCATATATCCATATTTAATTCCCTAGAAAGGTTCACACTGACATTTTAAATTATGCTGAACCCTGGATTGCTAATTCATGTTCTGTATAGAAATTACCTTTCTTGATGAAACTTCTCATCCAAGATATCTACTCAGAGAGATAGCTATCAATGTGTTTTAATGGAGGTGGAAGAGCATTATCAAATTTTGGTTATAGAAAGATCCTTTAAAACTAACGTAGATGGGATATCTGACTTTAGATGGTAAATGTGTCAGATCTCATCCATAGGGAATAGAGTAGAAATTCTAATTTAGTTGCTTTTTAAGGTGCCTTAATGAACACAGATATCTGGATTAATTCCTGCTGCAGTTGTGCATATAAGCATTAAATTAATAAAGTTGGACAGGTTAAAGCAAGTGTTGAATTAGTCTAAAAGCAAATACATCCTAAACATCACTACTGGAGTGGAACTGGAACTAAACTTGGCTGACTAGTTTTCTGCTGCCACCTACTGCACAGACATCTGGTTTAATTAATACTTGTGAATGGTTTAATTTTTAGAGCTTCTGTGCCACTCCACAGACCTCTTCCCTCCCCAGCTGATTCATCCAGCTTCATAGAAAGAGCAATGCCAGAACAAGTGTATATGCACCACATTGCAGTCAGCTTCAAGGATGCATAGAGGAAAGTTCTGAAGGGAATCTGTCAGAGTGTAAGGAGTGTAAGCAACAAATTATACACAAAAAATATAAATACAATGGCTGTGACCATGAAAGTCTAACACGGAAATGCATTAGTGAGACATGCCATAAAAATGTCTGAAATTGTTTTTTCACCTCAGTTTTTCATAGTATAATCCTGAAATAATTATATTTGAAATCAATAATTTATGCAATTTCTGACATTATATAAAGCCTGTAAATTCCTTTGTTGTGTTATTAGTATTGACCAACTGTAGCTTCACAAGCTGCCAAAGATTTTAATATTTTTTGCCAACTATGCCAGCTCCAGGAATATGACTCCAGTCACTCATATCCAAACTACTGCTAGAAGAAGATTTCATAGGTGAACCTTTCACTTAAAACTTCCACTATTCTGACATTGCTTTTTTGGAACATATTTGTTTTGAGATTTCTTACTTTAATTTCTATTTCCTTGGCAGGAAAAAAACTTGCTAAGTATGTTTTTAAATTCCAAAATGGTCTTCTTTTTTTTTTTTTCCTCCATTTATTAATCAATAAAGCAAACCTCACAGATGTTTCTTGAAATATCTTCCTATTTCCTCTCTTTTTACTTCTTTAATATTGTTTTGCAGGTAAACTGTATCTTGGAGGCCTTTGGACATGCTAAGACACCCTTGAATTATTTTTCCAGCTGTTTTATAAAGTATTTTGAACTACAGTTTTGTGAGAGAAAAAAAACATTAATTGCAGGTAAGTATCATCTAATCTGTAAATTTTAATGTCACACTCAGTGTTAGATCAGAGATCCCAATGTGCCATGCAGAGAGTTGGACAGCAAGGGCTTCAAAGTACATGACAAAGGCCAGGGGGGTTAGGGAGGGTCAGAGGAGCAGCTTTCACAGCCTGTGTTGGAGCACTTGTCAGGCGAGAAGGGGGCCCTGTTCTAAGCAGCCACAAGGTGGCAGGGAAAGGCAAGAAACAAAGTGAAAATGCAACTCCTCATATTTCCCAGGAGGCTACATTTCATTTTCTTTCACAGATCAACAAACTGAGAGCTGTGTAGTGTAACACTGTGAAGTAAGAGTGAAAAAGGGATTGAGTTGTTAAGTTGTGCATTTGTACCTAGTGTTGTATTGGTATTTTAAGTATCCCTTAAATTAGTGAGTAATATAACCTGTTTAGTAAAAAAAAACCAACCAACCAAAAAAGACCAAAAAAACAAAAAACAAAAAACCAACAACAAGTCTATTCTGTAATACTGAAATTAGAAGCAAGTTATTACAGTTTAGAGCTTCTTTTTAAAAAAACTAGGAACCATATTTTTATTCTTCTTAGAGGCAATATAGTGTGAAATTTGTTCTTACTTTCAGTGTGAGTCTTCTAATACCTAGTAAGCATTCATTAGTAAAAAAACAAACAAACAAACAAAACCAAAACCAAACAAAAACCAAAAACAACAACAAAAAAGATAAATACAAGAAAATTGAGCAGACATTCAGTTTGGTTCTGAAAACTCTCTCTTCAAAAGCCATCAGAGAGAGCTTTCATTTCTGGTCCACATAGGTCATCATAAAGCTACTCACTGTCAAAGCAAGGTATGTCTGCCAAAATAACTACACAGTTTCCTACTTGTACTTTCCTGGATAGAGAAGCTGTATCGCAAGACACACTTTTGTTCCAAGTAAATTAGATTCTGTTAAATAAGCATTTCCAAATCTACTCTTTCTTTATAATTTTAAATATGCTCCTGCTTTCTGAAGAGTTTCCTAAAAAAAAATCTTTGGAAATAGTTTCATTTACATTTTCTTGAGACAGTTCACTATACTATAGAAAATAGATAGTTTCTTCACAGGAAATGTCACACATGGGAAATTACTAACACTTTTTTTCTGGTTTGTTTTGTAATGAGTGTAGGATAATTGCAAAGGAAATTCAAAACTAAAAATGTGTGATTTTGTTTTTCGTTTATAAGCTCTGGTGGGAGGAATGCAAAATTAAATATACATTAGCATGGGCTGAAGAGCATCTCAGTTCAGTTTGTAAAAATAAACCTCAATCCCTAAAGCTAAAATTTTATAGACCCTTTGTATTGTACATATTTAATTTTAGTATATTGTGTCTGCAGGGACATGAGTTTATGAACAGCTTTACTCAGAACTGACAGTTTAATTCATAGCCACTGCCTGTGACAGGATCAGTTAAACAGGTTCTTGTGTCAGTTTTCTGGTACACTAATTCTGTGGTTTTATGATTCTCAAGTCATAGGCATCAAATGAGAAAATGTAGGGGGAGTCAGGTCAATTGAAAATATAAACAAATTACTTATCTACCCTACTATTCCCCAGTTATTTAGGAATTGAATCAGTTATTCTTACCAACTCTATGGCTGGCTAAAATTACATAATTTACGGTCAAGAAAGACAAGCCTTGCTAAGCAGTAGAAATGTGTTTTATATCTCTGAAATTTGCAACTGATCCTGCTCTTTGATTTGCATCGTAGGTGTTACCATTTCTCAGCCACTGCATCACATCTGAATAAAATTGTCCCAGGATTAGACCACCATAAATGAAAAAAGAATAATGCATGTTGTCTTTGGCAGGTTTAAATTCCACCCAGGCATACTTTGTATTTATTTGCAAGATCATTTGCAGCAGTATTTACTGTCTTGCACTACTTAAACATAAATGAATAATTTAAATATGCAGAGCACCTGATTTTGCTGAGCCATAAATTTACAACTCATTGATACTAATGGGGCTAAATATGTCTGATTCGTAAACAAAAACCCAAGTGATTCTATACTGCCTCCATCAAAGGGTTTGAATGGTTTAAACTCCTCCAGAGATAGATATTACAGGTGAAAATCCAGAGCAATTTACTATGGCAGGGATATGCAAAGTACATGTGCACACCTTTATTACAGAGGGCAGGCCCAAGATGGCACTCCTTGAGTTTTGAGTGGACACCAGTGAAGTTTGTGACAGCTTCTTGTTCATGCTGAAGTTCTTTTAGACCCTGGAAATGCTCTGACTTTTATCACAAGGTTTATTCTTCTAGCAGAAAGTACAATATACCTAAATAACAGAAATGTTCCCCATAATTTTCATCATTGATTCGTTCTTTAGCACAAACTCTATTTCTGCCATGATGGTTTGAAAACAAGGATGGAGAGTTTAGTGTGGTTCTACTCAAAGCCAGTACAGATATCTGAAGAGGTTTTATGTAACAAAAAGCTTTATTAAAACAAACACTTAGAATAAACTACAGGCCTGTGATTTCATTAAGTTTCTAAAATAAATTAAGAACTCAAAGACTCATCTTCTGGCAAAAAAAATAATATCATCTGAGTGAATGATTTACTACCACTACATAATAGTAGAATACTGATTTTTTTTCCCCAGAATGGTCCTTCAGGTAAGTTGATATAATTCCTAAGGTGAAAATGAATGCCTCTATAAAATTCCTCAAGTTACTCAAAAAGAAACAAAGCAAGGACTGATATTTTTTTTTCCTTTTTTGGGTTACATTAAAATGGACTGAAAAATGTTTTCTTGTCTTTACAAATAGCTGTGCTTAGGACAGCATGTTTTTGAGAAGGAGCAATGTAGTTTCTAAGAATGCATAGCTGAAACAGATTTCACTGGCCACACTTTTAATACATAATCTGCTTGCTGACTGTGTAGCTGCTGAGTAGATCAAGTGAGCTGTTAAAGGAAGTATAAATTTGTGCCTGTAAGTACAATTACCATTGCACAAAAATGACAGACATTGCTTTGGACCTTTATAAATTTTCTCCCTTTTATTTCACACATAGATTAACAAACTTATTTCACTTTGCAGAAAAGCATACTACCACGATAATTTCCTTTATGACTCGTAGCACTATTAAGATGATGCTCTGTTTGATTCTTGCTGATTGGAAGCTTGGCTTTTCTTAACAGCTCTTCCCACTGCTGGATATGCTAGTTGAGATGGAATGTATTTAGCCTTATTACAGTGCAAGTGACTTGAAGTACTTGGAAAGGACTGAATTAATTTGTGTCATCTGAATAAGTGATGTTGCTCATGATTAAAGTTAAATGATAGATGACCTTTGATAACATTTTTCCTGCTTGTATTAATCAATGGATGTTAAAAACAACTGAAGTGGTAGTTATAAAAGCCTTAGTGAAGAATATTGCACACAAAAATGTGATTAAAGATTTGCAGTGAACTCTTTTCAGATTAATTAATGGTTGGATTCGTTTTACTGTGAAATAAGTTACAAGCACAATAAAAGATGGAAATCATCCTTGAGGTTCATCTATTCTGTTTTACCCTGTAGAAATGACAGCCAGGTAATGATTGATTCTGATGAAAGTGTGTGTCTGGGCCAGTCCTGCCATGATTGCATTGCTTCAATTTATAATGTGTTGCAAAGTTACTGGAGCCAGAAACACACATGATTTCCCAAGTGCCCCTTTCTACTTCCCATATAGGTTTGGGTATTTTAGTTTTTTCTGTAGTGTAGCAGCAGAGGATTAGATGGATGATACACAATTTCTCATAATATTGATTCCATAATAGCAGTTCACTACTACATTTTGTAGGATGATTAAATGGGCCAGATCATGTTTCCTTGCTTCAGCAAGTCAGATGTACAACTCCTCTCTGTCAGCCCTACTGTCTCTTAGCCAGAGTCCCAGGCATGGTTTTGGGTGCCAGCACATGTCAGAACATGTCTGTGCTGTTGCACAAAGAAAGCATAGAGGATGTTCTGGCTAATGTACCACTGACCTTCTGTACTCCTTAACTGGGAGAGTACAGAGTAGTTCTTTGAGACCCTGCATAGTTGACAGAATTTAGCTGCTGAGGCTTTTTTCAAAACAATATGTTCAAGATTCACCCATTTCATTTCTCTGCCATCTACACTGTCTTTCAGCATTATTCTCAAAGGCTGTGTTCCCTCATACACACAACTTCAAGTAACCTCAGGTTTGCTGTGTTTATTTCAACAGTATAAACAGAAACTTAAAGAACTTCAAAAGATAAGTGGAATTTAAAATAAAATGACCAGACAAATACAGATGACACAGCAATAACCTAGCAGTGGACATTAGCAATTTTATGGTGACAGGAACTGACATTCTGCCTGCTGGCCTAATGCCTCATTAGGCTGATGCAACTACCTCTGATATACACTCTCATTCACCAAAGTGTTTCACTTTGCATTAGGAAACACCTTTGAGTCCAAAACTGGTTCTGAAAATATTGCTTTAATCGCAGACAGCTTAAAAAAGTTTAAAAAAATCAGAAAAAAATCTAAAATTACATTAGTGGCATGCATTTAGAGAACATACTTGCTGTGCTGCAGGATGCATGCACTAATATTTACAATGACTACATGTTCAATAACTACTTCCAGTTTATGAAGAAAGGCTGTGGGAACCTATAGTTTAATATTCTCATCTGCTTACCGTATTCAAAAATGTAGGTCCTCTGTTGCTGAGAAGTGCACCTTATGCTCTAATCTCAAGAGCCCTTTCCACAGCAAGGATGCTTGCAAAGAGTCTGTGAAAGCTCTGCCATACTGCAGGTATTGAAAAGCCTAGAGGTGCAGCAAAATGGATTGTGTCCATGTGGTGGAGGTGCTCAGTTGTGTGTGAAGAGAAGTGCTTCTGGTCTTTGCACCACAGCTAGTATTTAAGTAATGAGATAAATTATGCCAGCAGCTGGGTAAGTGGGAACTGGGATTAGGTTCCCACTCACTAGAAAGGCCCTGACCTCTAGCTGCAGTTGGACATCCCCTTGTTCTCTTAGTCTCTTGCATCCGGAACCACATGGTGGTGTTCTCCAAGGGGAGAGCTCATGAGGAGCCTGCCCAAAACAGTGAATAGCCCTCTGTCTCTTCATGGGTATCTCTAAAATGCCTGTTATCTTCTGAACAGATAGATCAATCTGGGAGCTCAATATTTCCTTCGCTTCTGTGTTTTGCTTCTTTCAGAATCTTAGTGGGCCTGAGGTTATGTATGGTCCTGTAAGCTGTTTTTCTGTAGGCAAATCCTGCTCAGATTCATCCTCCTTCACCTTCTTCCCCAGACTGCTGATTCACACGGCTTCTCATTTATTCAGGTCATCATAGCCCTTCTGAGATGCCCATGTTTCCTCAGGCTCAGGTCAGTGAGCTTGTTGAGAACCTGTTCTGCAGAGGATTTGTCTCTTTATAGCCATCTAGAAGCTAGGTGGTTAATCTAAATTATTAATCTCTATGTTCTGTTCTTGATTACCAGCAGAGAAAGAAGAAATGCTTCCAAGTGTGTTTTTTCAATAGATCTTGAATCTCTCTTCCATCTTTCTGTTTAGAAGGACAGTATAGATGCCAGTGCTCAGATGTCTATATTTTGGTGAGATAACTAATAGCTTGTCTCTTAGAAAGTCTTGCCAAATACAACAACTGGTACAAATCAACATCAGTATCTTCAAAACTAAGTAATTTTGATGGTAATATCAAACAGCAAGTGGGGCAATATGTTCCACCAATTCTAATGGAATTAGGGTTTTGTATGTGATTTGTATAGAAAACCATGGTAATAAATAAATGGTAATATATTTTATATGCTCCCCTCAGATAATTTTATAAGAAACATTATTAACTGTTACAATTGTAGATTATTTAAGACATTTAAGTTTAGAACAATCAGTATAATGATGAGTTTATATGTTTGTTTCTTAATCAGCTAGGATTTATACGTACATGTTGGAGAAGTCTCGTGTCGTTATCCAACCTCTCAACCAGAGTAATTTTCATGTTTTTTACTTGATGATGGATGGATTGTCTGCTGAAGAAAAATACACCCTTTACCTCAGTAATTTATCTGCACACAGGTAGGAAAACAACTTTATATTTAGTATTAATAGTTTTTTATATTAATGTCTCAGCTGTTGAAGTCTTTCTTCCAATTGTTAAAATTTTTCTAACTTTTCAATGAGTTCTGAAATTATTTATTATGGAGCATTTGCTCATGAGGATATAGCTCTGAAGTACATATGTACTTTCTTAACAAGATCAGAGTTTTATGTACATTAATATTGCTACCTTAAAGGAGAAAAAGAAACTTATTAGCTATTTTTCTGTCTTCTGTGGGCTAGAGTAGGCCTATTGTTTTTGGTTTTTCCCTGGTGAAAATTTTGTTTCATAAGGTAAAACTTTTATTTATTTATAATTTTCTTATGGAATATGTTGATTTTGGTGAAATGTCACTTAATGTAACTGATATCTCCATTTTCATCTTGATACTTTATATAAAAATTTGTAAGAAAAAACAGAAGAAAAAGTTTTGACTGCTTTGAACCCAAAGATAGGATTCAACACCCAGCACCTAAAATTACGTGTTTCTGTATGACTCCACATGAGCTGATTGTCTTGGCTTCCATTTGCAATCAAAGGAGATTGAGTTCCTGCTCAGCTGTACAAAGACTCACAAATGTGGCTCAGCTCATCCAAAGCACAGAGCTATATGTGTCTTCATAAACTGTGCTGATTACCTCGCCTTTAACAGTAAGAGCTTAAATATAAAGAGCTGAATATAGACACCCAAATGTAGCATGTCTAAGGCTTAATATACTCCAAAGGAGATTTTAGATTTTTTGAGGAAATTTTGTGATTTTCTCAGAATTTATTAATTCTGACTGTTTTAGAATGAAAAAATATTCCTCCCTTAGCTAATTTGCATTTTACTTTTCAGGCTTTTCTAAGTGTCACTGAAATGAGAAAAGGGTATTCAGTATTAATGATCTCCTCCTAAACTGATTACCTTTACAATTAGTATAATGAGTAACTGTAAAAAGACCTATAGTAATTAAAATTATGTAAGAAGAATGTTTTCAGGTTTTCACATCTAAGCCTTTTTTCCATGGATTTTTTTTTTCCTCAACTTTTTCATTTTCCACTCTGGCTAGTTACTTGAATAAAATAGCAGTTCTAGATTTAGGACCTGTAAATAGAAAGACACCACATTAATTTTTGTGGAGAAAAAGTTTGTTGATTATGATTTTTTTCTTAGATGGAATTCTTCTGACTACCATTGGTTAATGTTTTAAGCTGTTACCATTGCTGTATTATACAGAATAGCACATAGCACTAGCTCTGAAGAAACCTCCGATTAAATTCTTGTGCTAAAAGTGATTCACTTCAAAGCAGGGAGAAGAGTTAAATTCTATATTTTAAATTGTTTGAGGACTTTGAAGACCAAAACTATTCTAAGTTCCTAATGATTACTTTATTTCTCTTCTAGCATAAGTTGTTTGGAAGCACTCAGTTTGTTCAGAAAATGAAACAGTTTGAAGTCCCTTTGCAAGAAGCTCAGACAGAAAAGAACTTGGTGTAAACCTCAATAATTAGATTTACATGAGCAAAACTTTATCTGATAAGATATCTGATAATCATCCAAAAAGAACAAAATAGTATTTCTAAGTAGATGTCTGAACATTGCAGTACCAAAGCTTTAGAAGTAATTTATTGTGGAATATTTGCATAAACCTGCTTTTATCAATAAAGCTTTGCTTTGCCTATGTAGAGTAGATTGTATCTTGCATTATTGAGAGAGTTTGGGCCAAATTTTTCTTACCTTAAACTCCTGAGTGCATTACTTAATTGAGTTAGATCTTTCCCAGTTGATAAAGTTAAATTAGGGATGAATTTCTACTGCATCAAACTTACTCATGAATCAGGAAGGCAGGATCTGGCCTCTTTTATAAACTCATTATTTCTGGCTTAGTCAAATTTTGATGAGATCACATAATTCTGGTAACATCCATAAGTGATTTTTAAATGTTTTCTTTGAACAAGTGCAATCTTGATTCAAATAGTAAAATTAACTAGATAACAGGCCTTTTAAAATCCTTTGGAGGTTGTTTCTGCCCAGTTGTTTTTTTGATAATTTTTCTGTTCCTCTTCACATTGCTTAATATTGCATTTTTATGTAGAAGATACAACAATCTTAGTAAATAATGGCTATTAAGATCACAAAGTAACTCTATTTTATAATTTTTTTTCTTAAGGCATTGCAATGTAAGAAATAAGATGTAGCATGAATTTTTTAATTCTTATTTTAGATAAAAATACCCCAAAGATTTAAAGTAGTTTTGTCAGCATGATGCTGCAAAAGATGAGATGTAAGTTGTGTTTTATATAATATATAATCCTGGACTGAGAGTTAATGTAAATTGCTTAAAGGGGAAATCCCTCCCTTTTGGAATCACTAAGAATCTTTGTAAGGCTGGGGTGTCACCCCATCATGATGGGAAAGTTGTTTGGTTGTAAATCTCTGCTGTTTGGTGCTGTCCTGAGAGGGAGCTTGAGCTCAGAAACTTAAATATGTGTTCTTGCAAGCATTGTATTTGCTAAGGCACCATGTGAGGATAAATAGCCGCACACTTTCTATTGAGCCTACATTACAGCTAGGATCTCAAAGTAGCAAGAATTTAATTTACATAGGGAAGGATTTGAATGAATACATCTCCCATCGTATCTGCATGGGGATCATGATGGATAAAGACAGAAGTAATTGCTGAAAGGTAAGATCATTTTTCAAGATTGAGCAAGGGAAGCATGTCAGAAATGAAGAGAGAGTCTCAAAAGGGGAAGTAAAGGCTTTTTGATTGACAACTACTCCTGTGCATTCATTATATTTGGAAACTGATTTTTATCAGCAGATTGTTGATTAAAAACTTCCAAAATTTCTGTTAATTTACTGTGTTTCAAAGAACTCTAGGACTTTTTATCTTGATGATGATAATTATGTGTAATACAGAGACATTAACAATTTGAAATTATATTCTCAATTTGCTCTTGATTTGCTCTGGATTACAGTTTTTTTTTCTGGGTGCAGATTACAGTCCATGACTGTAAGCAGTACTTTTGTGGTCTCTGAAGTTTAGCCTCACAAAAAAAGCATGTGCTAACTTTTCTAGCACATTTAGCTTTGCCTCATAGTTACAGTAGGTCCTAACTTAGTGATGAATCTTGCAACCAAGGTGAAACAGAGAACAGTAAGAGAAGCGACAGTGGCGATAGATCAATTTGTAAATGATCTTCAACACTAGTGAAGAAAGGATTGGAAACAAAAGGAAAGATCATAGCAAGAGGAGAGAAAGTATTTTAGGAAAATCTTCCAGAAAATAAATAGAAAGTCCTGCTTTTGTTGCTTTGGGCCAATTGCTTCATATTAGTATTTCTATTTCAAAGCTGTGGCATATAGAACAATGTAAGAATGTCATTGTGTAATATGTATATGTAAGATACTCAAACATACTGTTATTAAAAATCATGTCTTTACATTTGTGTATTTATATTTAAAAATATAGCTTAAGGCCACTTAACTCAGGAAAATTATTTCAGAAAAGATGGTAGGTTTGAGACCTGTTCAACTTACCATTTTCAGTTTAAACAAGGTTCCTATTTCTCCTAATTCATTGTACTGTAAAAACAAGCTAATAACTTCAATTGGAGGAAAATGTTATATAAACATTCATGCAAGCTGAACTGTGGTCAGCACATGCACTTTTTGTATTTGCATTATCAAACTGCTGTTCCCAGATGTGTAAAACTTTCCTTTCTCCCATAGAACAATGCTGTGCACTGCACTGTGTGCTCTCTCTGCCTGTGATGTTTCTCACATCCCTTAAAAAGCAGTGAAACTCTTCTGCAACAACAGATGTAGATCAGTTCATGGGACTGATGTACTTTCTTTTACAGTTTTTCAGTGCAGGTGCCCTCTTCACTCTCAATAAGAAAAACTTGAATTTAATATATAAAGGTGTAATTTTAGTAAAGTGATTGATTTTTTTTTTGTTATAGTCTAAGCTAATCTGAATCTTGATCAGTGAAGAAATAATTTCCCATTCTAAATTATAAGGCTGGTCTTAAAAAAAAAGGCTTAAAAATTAGTGTGATAAAGTGAATGAAGTAGAAAGATCCCAGTAAAGACAGCCTTACGTATGACTTTTTTTGTGTTTCCAGTCATCATCTTTTCTAACAAGCACTAATACAATGACTTAAAAATAATGATTATTCTAGTAACATCCATATTGATCCCCACTCCTCATTTCCTTTGCATATAAGAGCCCAAGATGTAAATTTTCAAGTACTGTGAGTAGCCAGTTACCACAAATTTCCTCTTTTCAATACACTCAGGTGGCAGCCTCTCTATTTTCTAACTATTGTAGATATGGACCATGAAGAAACTGTGCATTTCCATACCTTTTCCTTCCTTCTCTCTTCCTTTTCTTTTCTTGTATCTTTGGATGCCTTTTATTTTTTTTTTTTTCATTAATTTGATTAGGTTCTCATTTAAAGTGCAACAGAAAGAAATAATAATCTTGAAACTACCAGTTTTTCATACTTGTGCTATTTGTCTACAAACCTTACTATGGCAGTCTAACAGTAAATTCATAGAGAAAAGTTGTAGGGGTTTGGGGATTTTTTTGTTTGTTTTGTTGTTATCTGGGGTTGTTTCTTTTATTTTGGGGCTTGTTCTCATATTTGTGGTTTTTTGTTTGTTTTGTTTTGTTGGTGGGTGTTTGTTTTTGTTTGTGTATGTGTTTGTGTGTGTGTTTTGTGTTTTGTTATTTTTAAATTTTTCCCACACAATCAGATAAATAGGCATTTTAGGAATGTTCCAGTCCTCTGATGTTTCCATGCTCTTTCCTTGTAGTAAATCCTAATAGATTTTTTTTCTTATGAATATTGACTTTTTTTAAACTTTCAGTACGGCCAAAAGCTCAGTTCACAGAGGTGATTACAGGACCATTCTGATCCCTTTGTTTCACAATTTTCTTGATGCTGATATCTGTGTATGATGACTAGAGGAAAATCCAAGCATTAG